AGTTTGGCAGGCCCTGACATGACTCCATACATCCTTCCTTATTGTTGGCCACCAAGCCACTTCCAAAATTCTTAGAAGGGTTTTAAGCCTTCCCAAATGGCCTCCCACCGGACTGTTATGGTAGTAAGTGAGGAAATGTGCTGTCAGATCAGCCGGAACAACCAGTTGGTAGTTGAACCCTCCATATTTGGATGGAACGCCCCGGTATAAGACACCTTGTTGATACATGTGATGTATACGCCCAGGCGCTGGAAGGGTGACCGTTTGTCCAAGCTCCATGCAAAGAGAATCATTTTTTTGGGCCCTCTCAATATCTTGTAGTGAGCTGGGGAGATCTGTCCAGTAGTCTTTTGCCATAGCAACATTGATGGTACCTTCCTGCCCAGGTGGTGCACGTGACAGTGCATCAGGGACAGCGTTACAGCACCCTCTTTTGTAATGTACACGAAATGTAAATGCTTGCAGCCTTAATGTCCACCTAGTAAGCCGGGATGATGTCTTTGGGCAGTTAAATGCCCAGGCTAGTGCAGCATGATCTGTAAACACATCAAACATCTCTCCTTCCAGATAGTGGCGCCATTTTTCAACTGCCCATACAACCGCTAGGCATTCCTTTTCCGAGGTGGAATAACGGAGTTCAGCCCCATGGAGCGCTCTAGAGGCAAATGCAATGGCTTTCTCCTCTCCCTCCACCATTTGCATTAGGACAGCTCCCAATCCCACGTCGCTGGCATCACAATGTACCTGGAAGCCAAGGTGTGACTGTGGCTGAGCGAGGACTGGAGGAGACTGCAGCAGTGTTTTGAGGTGTTCAAATGATACTTGACACTCTGATGACCACTCCCAAGGTACATTCTTTTTTTTTAGATTATTCAGGGGAGCAACCAAGTCTGCCAATCTGGGTACAAATTTGTGGTACCAGCCAACTAAGCCAAGAAACCTCTGCAGACCCTTTAAGTCAGCAGGAGGTGGGTAGTCGGAGATGGCCTGGATTTTACTTGGGTCGACCTCCACTCCTTTTCCAGAGACCACATGGCCCAGGAATCTAAGACGGGTCTGAAGCAGACAACATTTCTTTATGTTTAAGGTGAGGTGAGCATCATGGAGCTTTTTAAACACAGCCTCAAGATGTTGCAGATGTTGTTCGATGGTGCTAGAGAACACTATGATGTCATCGATGTAAACAAAACAGTTTTTTCCTTTTAGTTCTCCGAGAACTGTTTCCATTAATCGCTGGAAGGTGGCGCCGGCGTTCCTCAGGCCGAAAGGCATTACCTTAAACTGGAACAAACCTTTATGAGTAATCATGGCAGTTTTTTTCTTGCTCTCTTTGCTCATGGCAACCTGCCAGTAGCCACTCTTGAGATCTAAGGAACTGAAGAATTGAGCACCTCGCAGAGACTCTAGGATCTCATGCACCAGTGGCATAGGGTAGGCATCATGAAGAGTCTTTCCATTGAGTCCACGAAAATCCACACAAAAGCGTGGTGTGCCGTCTTTCCGTGGCACCAACACCACTGGTGCTGCCCATGCAGAAGTTGATGGTTCAATTATGTTGTTTTGCAACATTTTTTCCAGTTCAGCCTCAATAACAGCTTGTTTTTGGGGTGACACCCTATAAGCTCGGCGTCTCACAGGAAGCTCGTCGGAAGTCACAATGTGGTGGCTAATGATCTCGGTGGCTCCAACAGCCTCTGTCCAAACAGTGGGCCACTTCTGGAGCAGCGACCGCACCTCTTCAGGCTGGACTTCCAAAAGTGGGACAGCAGGAGTTTTAGCCTGCGAGTCTTCCACCACAGCCAGGTAAAAATTGATGCATAACTGTGCATCCTTCCAACACAGCTCATCTCGTGATCTGACCTTGAATTTGTATTCTTTTCCATCCGGCAGCCCATAACTCCTGAGATGTGGCTTTAAGACAATCTGACTAGCATTCATAAAGTCCAACCCAAGTAACAATGGCATACAAAGTTGCTCATCATTTAGGACATGCACAGGGATGGTGATGTGGACATCATGAAATCCAAGCAGTAGGATAGTTTTTCCCTCTGCTTGACTTTCTTGTCCATTAGCCATGACAAACTTTGGTACTTCACTTCTACTCAGGGTTTCACCGGGTGTGCTTATCCTCTTCCACAGGCTTTGTCTAATGAGGGAATAAGTACATCCAGAGTCAAGGACAGCATCTCCTGTGGTTCCTCGAATAGTTACAGGAACCACCAACAGGGACAGTACCGCCTGGAATGCAGCCACCTCTCCTCCATGTCCACGGACTTGGCTGTGCTCAAACTTTCTGCCTGTTTTCCTTGGTCTGTCCGAAGGGTGGGCCTGCTGCACTCTACTCCAGTAATCCCGAGAGTTGCTCCAATCCCTTTCGATCAGCGACCCCACTTTCACAAGTTGTTCTACCGTGGTTACGATGCCTCTTAGTCCACTGGCCAACCTGGGATTGCAGGCACTCAGGATTCTGCGGACAATTTCTTCCTCAACCATGTCCGGTCTCCACTTTAAGCACAGGGCTCGATGGTCATAAGCAAAATCCCTCACACACTGGTTTGGTGCTTGAACATTTGTGCGGAGCTGTTCCTCTATTTCGGCATGGTAATCGGTAGGCAGGAAGGCTTCCAGGAATGCAGCCTTAAAGTCAACCCAATCCTTTATTTTAGTTCGTGTTGCCAGCCACCAACTGCGTGCGGGTCCTTTCAGAACAGAGTTTAGAGTGCCTAGGAGCTCCACATCTAACAAAGGTCTGAGAGTTAAGAAGTTCTCACAATGCTCTATAAAATCAGTCACATCTGAGGTGTTGCGGGACTCTCCAAACTGAGGAAACTCCATCTTAATAGGGGGTCTGGTAGCAGCATAATGGGATGTCTGGGCAGCTTCTCTCTCCCCTGCCAGTCCACTATCGTGCCCATGGGAAGCTGGAGTCGAATAACTAGACGGCCCCCAAGAGTGAGCACCTCTGTGGACTTTTTGTTTTAGCTCCTCCGACCACCGTTTGTCCCTACGCTTAAGACAGGCCACAACCTCTTGGTCCAACTTCTGGAGGTGGTCCTCTACATATTCTTTTATCAAGACAGCAGAGGAGTCAATAGCAGCCCTGAGTCCCTCCTCTCGATGGAGAGTGCTGTCAATCGCCTCTTGGAGGCGTTGTTCCAAGGCCTCAACTTTCTGCTGGAGATCCGAGAATTGTTCTGCCAATGGCTCAGCTTCTGTATTAACCCCAGCGTCTGCTTGAACCCCTGGTTGATCCAGATACATGCTATTGAGCATGGAAGTTAAGTGAGTTACATCTGAATTGCCTGGTTTTAGCCTGACTGTAACGTGTTGGTGGAGGCATGCATCTTCTGGCAGAGTGGATGGTTGCTGGTCAAATTTCCCAAGAGATGCTGAAAGCTGATCAGATGCAGACTCCTCAGAAGAGGAGGAATCTGAATGATTTGAAGCAGACATAACTGAAGTTAGGGTCCTCTAAGCGCTGTAATGTGATGATGTATGCAAAAAAAAAAAAAAAAAATCAGTATTTGAATAAAATATGTATGAATGTAATATACGTAAAATATGTTTCCACAAACAGCCAAAAAAAAAAACACAACTTGCATTTATGCCACTATTCCAACCCTTAAAGTTCACCATATACTTTCCCTACACCAAAAATGTACAAACACTAATTTGGGCCATCAACACTTGTAAATGAAAACAAAATCAACTCAGAGTGGTTATAATGTAAAATACTTGTGCCTGAATTAATTTAACTTCCCTTCACCGTCTCACAAACAACAACCAAAAATTATACATATAGCAACCAAACTCCACAAGAACACTAGCTCCCCATACTGGCCACCAGATGTAACAACCTGCCCCCACCGTTGCGATGATAGGGGGATTAATTACA